CTTCAAGTTAATGGTCTTGCTGTCAATGTCTGTTGGAGTGGTTCTGTTGTTAACTTGATAAGGAAAATTTAATAGACCATACCAGTTGTGTATTGGGTAATTAAAGATTTTTCCATTCATTTTTTAAGCTGTCCCAAATGAAATTTGAAAGCAATCTTCAAGCCTGTGTATGAATTGTTCATTTTATGTTATAATGCTTTATCTTTTATGGAATAAATTTGAATTATTCTATAAATACTCTTTTATATGATTTATTACTGCAAAGACAATATTTGCAGTTAATTACATTTTAATGGTAACAAGGCAATTAGTTACACAGAATGGACATTTTTTCCCCCTAAATTTTTCTTTGTTTTGTAATTACTGAAGTATTTTGTAAGTAAAAGTATGATCTCTTTTGGCAATTACAAAATAAATAATTTTAGCAGCTAACTATTTTTGTGTATTTGACAAGATATTAATTACATATATTCAAAGAACTGGTAACAAATAAAATGGATCATTATTAATCTGTGCAGTCTTAGAGTGATTTGAACAGGAGAAAAATATTTGATAGAAGTTAAAAGTTTATAACATACATCTGCGGAGTTCTCTGAGGAAAAATTGTGTCACGGTTGTAACTATCAGGAAAAGATTTATAAAAGTACTTTAAGACAAAAATGGCTAAGCTGTTGGAAAAAAAAGTTCCTCTGAAGAAAGAATGTATAGATCACTCTCTCTACTCATATCTCAACTTGAGAATATCTCGTGGGTGCACTGTATAGTACTTATGTAGCTCGTAGAAGTGACTGTTCATAGGAATGTGACATATATTTTTTATCAAAGCAAATTGTGTTTAAAATGTGTAGCATTTGGTGCTTGCAGCTGTAAAGGAAGGTATTGTACTGCAACTGAGAAACATATGCAAACTGAAGATGTTTGACTTTTCTGTTATAAAAAGTAGATTTTTAAAATAAGACATTGTTTTTAAGCAGAAACCAAGGAAAAAGACGTTTAGTCTTTATTTAGTGTCAGCTTTATTGCATGAAATCCACATTTTATAAAATGGGACTTGATTGAAAACGTCTTTGGAAAGCTTCTTTTGCAAATATAAGTTATGAGTTAAAGAACAGATTTTATTATAAATGAGATTTCCGTGTTCATTATTAACCTATAATAGGTTTAATCTTATTTTTTAAATAATAGGTAATTTACTGTTGAAAATCTGTATGTGGAAGTAATTGATAATATAGATGCAACAATCACAAAAAAAGTGGTCTGAAATAAATTTTCTTAACTGTTTAAGCCCCACACTGGAGTTCATGGCAACAGCATAAATAAATCTGAATAAAAATCCAGAACAGAAACTGAAACTCTGATGCAGTAAGTTCTCCCTCTGAAAAGTTCTTTAATTAAATGTGTGGTTTTTAAAATTTTATAATCTGTAGATGAGATGGCAAAATTCAGAGTTCTAATTGACAGTACTGACCACAATTTAATTAAAGCTTTGTATCCTGCAATTCATTTGCAAATGAATTTCTGAGTCTAAATTTTGTTGTAATTGTCAGCCAAAAAATGAGTATTCCTGCATGAAGAATGTTCCCACAGTTTGCCTTGTGTAATGGACTTTATGTTTAGTCTTCTTTTTATTATAATAGCTATAATACCACAATAAACATCAAGAGTTCCATCTAACTCATGGTATTCATATTAGCCTTTTATATAAAATTTTTGTTTATCATCCTTCATAAAGTAAATTCCTGTACTCAAGAAGGAGTTGTAAAATCAGTGGTCTCATGTAGACGCCTTCTGGAATTCTAGTAGCTGTTAATTTTTGGGCTACTTCTAGTATTGCAAAATAAGAATAGTGTGGGAGAGACTCTGAGGACATAATATATTGCGAAGTAATTTATTTTTAAAGGAAAGCTTTCTCACTTAGGAAGTATTATACACACAACAGAAATTAAAAATAATAAAATAAATCCTGTTTATGGATTTTAATCCATGCCAGCTACAGGGGTAAATGAAATAGATCCAAAATATAGAAAAAAAGAAATTAGGATTGGAATGGGGGAAAGACCGAGTTTGAATTTGCTTGATTTGCTAGCTATGCATTAAATAGTCTCATTTACCAGTACTTACTTACCAAAGTGTTTGCATTTGAAGATCTTTTTACTGTGACTGTAGAATTGTAGAGGTTCCCTTCAGAGGAAAGACAGGCTGGAGCAAAAAAAACCTCTTAACTATCTTCTCCTTGCCTAGATGCCTGAAAGCACTTCCTCCAAACAGCAGATGAGATTGCTTTATTTTTCCATACATTGCAGATGGATGAGTAATGTTTTCTTTCAGTAATGCCCAATAATGGACTTGATTTTTTATTTTATCCTTTTTGTACAAGTATATATCTCTGTAAATGTCTGCAGTTCTCATTCAAAGATTTTTAAGAATTTTTAACTCAGAACCCTGATTTAGCAATGAGTGCCTGTATTTCTGATAAAAGTAAAATATGCTTTTAAATAAAGCTAAAAGAAACGTGGATAAAATTTTCTTTATTATCATACTGAGACATTGTAATCTGGGGGGAAATAGATTGAGTGTACCACATACTGGAGGATCCATTTCACATACAATTATGTAACATCCAGCAAGTCCTTGGTTTTAGGTCCTATTCTAAAAAATCAAGGCATGTGATTGTTTTAAAGTGTTGCATGTGTGATGCATTTGACTGATTGCTGTGAATTTCAAGAACACGTTTTTATTGTGACCTGTGCTCTTAAGGTGTTTTGAAAAGTTAATGAGAGTGTATTAAGCAGCAAATGTTCAAATAGAATTATGTGACCAATTATATGCCATTATATCTTAATATAATAATATATTTTCCAGAAAGCTTTCAGTGAAAATCAAGCAAATGAAGGAAAATTGGCAAAAGTCATATTGAATAACTGAGGCCAGAATTTGGCTTCTGCAGTTAGGAAACAGGGCAAGAACAGCAATTTAATGTTTTGTTGGATTTTTTTACATTAAAAATTTTTCAATAGGTTGAACTAATAACTATAGCTGTTGGTTTCATAAACACTTTTCTAACAAAATAATAGTTTTTTACTTTAATTGAATTTTAGAGGTTATGGATATTGTGCTAATACAGTATGACTTTTTCATACAGGTTTTCAAAACTGAACATTTTACACTGAACCAGAAATCCCATGCCTACTACTTTACTTCCAAAACCATTTAACTTTAAAGTTTTCTCCTAATATCTTTCCTGGGGAGATATCAGTTTGTTTAAACAGTCTGTCTTCTAGATAGTGGTCTGTGTTGGGCACTTGAAAACAGCACTGCAGGGCTGGGAGTCTGCAGGTCTAGAATATACTTGTGTGTTTTGGTGTAATGCAACTGACAGGTGGATTGGGCAGTCAGTTTTGGGATGGTCCAAAATTTATTGTCTTGTCTTACTGGTCAGTTACAACATGGGAATCAAGGTCTGTTTAGTATCAAAATTACCCTTGACAGCAGGTCAGAGTAGGACATCATGATCTATCTCATGGACAGATAAAGGATTTACTGCACTCTGCTTTCCAGGGTTTTGTACTGGTGTGCATCTTTTGCTTTGCAAAGAAAAGAGTGCCTAGAAATGGAGCTCAAAAATATTTATATTGTTAGCCTTTATCTTTTACCTCAGACTTACTCAAGAGTGTGAAGTTTTCTAGGTGAATTAATGCACTATGAAGTGTAATTGATACTGTGTGCAATCACATGACTTCTTGGACTTTTTACGTTGGTTCATTGTCCAGAAAAACCCATCTCACAATGCTGGAGTGAAAGGTTGAGATCTCAGTGTGTTACCAGTACCTTCTATACTGCCAAACAGTGATGTATAGAAAGCACAGTAAGTGGAATTAGGCTGCCATGGACTGCAAGGCAACGTGCGTTCAAAACAGTTCATCAGTCTGAGAAAATACTTGGCACTCGTTTGTAGAAAAGCATTTTAACTTTTCGTTCAAGCATTTGTAGAAAAGCTTTTTAACTATTTTCCCTGTGGGCCTGGCGGAAAAGGACTGGTAGATAATACTTCATCTTCCATTTTGCTGAGCCAAGTACAGGGGAAGTTGGCCAGGATTTCTCAGTTGCTGCACGCCATAAAGGAGAGACCAGGAGGAGACATGTTTTATCACTTCATTTGTCTGCTTTGGAAAGCAAATACCTATACTAAAGATATGGGGAGAAAAGGGAGCTGATAATTAGCATCAACATCAGTTTGGTCTGGCTAAGTTATTTCTACATCCACTTCTCACAGATTTTTGTGGTCCATGCCATCATTCTGGCACTTGAGAATAAGAAGATGGAAACCCCACTATTTATTTAGGATAATGTTACATATTTACAGGTTACTTTCAAATTAATGTGGTGTTTGTAATATTTTGTGCTGTTCTAGGTCAAGTAATGAAACATTATGAATCATTATCAAATCTGATCTCCAAGTAGAACACAAATTGTGGGGGGTTGAGTAGAGCATGGATTTGACTGAAAGAGATATGCAAATCCACTTACTTTTCCTAACTGCTTAATGCTTAGACAGAGCCTTAATAATCTAAGAGTTGAAAGAATTTTGAATATGATGTTCCTTTATCCAACAAATAATATGCACTCTTAGATTATATAATTTTTCTATATGTTTAAAAGTGGCACAGGAAAGAGACTCTTACTCCTTTGCTCCTAAAATATTTGTTTCTTGGCAGGAGTTGTCTGAATGTATAGCAGATGTACTAGATATAATCTGGCTATGATTTAATGTAGCACACATGCAGAGAATGAAAATAACATTAATATGATTTGTATTTTTAATTAGGACCTTTGTGCAAGAGGAAGACTAGTCTGGTTATGACTACTTATTCTGTGATATAAATAGAACTTCTGAGTTTCCAGGACTGTCTTTCTGGCAAAGTTCATATGACCCCAATTTGTGATTCAAGACTCTGAAAAGAATGTCCTCGCTAACATTTATTCTGTATTTTTGTTAACAGGAGGAATGCTTTTTGAATTTAGAAGCTCCTATTGCAAGAGTATGTGGCTATGACACTCCCTTCCCTCACATCTTTGAGCCTTTCTACATCCCAGACAAATGGAAATGCTATGATGCTCTTAGAAGAATGATTAACTACTGAGCAATAGTAAAGGTGAGGAGTAACAGCTTATACTGACAGGTTACCTGCAAGGGTTCTGACAGGATTACTGTAAGGTTTGGGCCTATAGTACTACTTGTTTATTTAATTAATTTATTCATTATTACATTATTTATTTAATTGATTCATTTATTTAGTTATTTTTAATAAGATTTGCCTCTTACAGCTTTGGGCCTTCAGTCTTAAAGGCATCTGAATATTTTTGAGTACTGCCATTGAAATCAGTGTTTAAAATTAATTACCTTGCTTAATCAATTTGAATATTAAGTGTTTTGAATCTTGAGAAGTGAAAAGAGTACAAAGCAAAGGGTGAAAAGAATACTTATGCAGAGAATATATTTTAATCTCTATTAGAATACTCAAGAGTTACTTCATAGGCAAACCACAGTGTTAAATTTTATAATTTTTCACTCCTCACTGTGGCCTGTAATCCTGCAACGTACAAATAACACCCAATTTACTCTGAATATTGGCTCTGTATTGTAAACACACACAAACCACTGGAAATAATGTGAAGCATCTGTAGTGTCTTACAGTTCTGTTGAAGTACTATTGTTTAATGTTTATTATAAAAATAATTTTTCTTTACGGTCTTCAATGTAATTTAATCATGCTTGAAGATTTCTGTTTACAGAGTACAAAGAGTGTGAAATAATACATATGCCTGTGTCTGTTACTCGCAGTCTGTAACATCTTTTGTTTCATTATAATATTATACTAAGTAACATTTGACTGTGGAGTGGGCTGATGAGGATTTAGAATTGTGCTGTGGGAGAACTTCTGGTGTATAATGACCAAAGTTTAACCGTTTAGAAAATGTGTTAACACAATGTATTCTGTGCTTCCTTTAACTGAACAAAGTAACCTGGTTTTTGAGATACAGTCTTGATGGATCTTGTCCATAAGAAATGAGAAGAAGAAAACAACAGAAACTATAATGGACAGGCAAGGGATTTTTAGCTGTTGACACCAAAGACAGGAGGGCCAAGGTGGGCCCTAAATGACGGGTGCAATCTTCTGTCTGTTTTACCTCTACATTAAACTGCGAATTAAATTTAGAGGCATGGATAGAAGGTTACCAATACCATAATGTTAAACCCCTCCCCACATCAAATCAGAATGATACTTCCTATTCGTCTATGCCATTCTCCGATCCATCCCAAACAAACTAGGAGGCGTACTAGCCTTAGCCACCTCAGTCCTCGTCCTGTTCCTCACTCCATTGCTACACACACCAAAACTGCGATCAATAACTTTCCGCCCTCTATCACAAATCTTATTCTGAACTCTAGTTGCTAACGTCCTCATTCTAACCTGACTAGGCAGCCAACCAGTAGAACACCCATTCATCATCATTGGCCAGCTAGCCTCATTCACTTACTTCACAATCATCCTAGTTTTATTCCCCCTTGCGGCCGCCCTAGAGAATAAACTACTCAAACTCTAATTAACTCTAATAGTTTATAAAAACATTGGTCTTGTAAGTCAAAGATTGAAGACTAAACCCCTTCTTAGAGTTACCCCACCACCCTGTCTCAGGAAGAAAGGATTCAAACCCTCATCTCCAACTTCCAGAGTTACTTTCAGGGGACGTTTTTGTTTCTCTCTCTTTGTTTCCTTCAAAAGCAGAGTTTGTGTATGAGAAATGGGATTGCTACCAGTGATGCAGTTTCTGCAAAAAATAATGTAGTTCTACTTTTTCATACATAAAAATGGCTTATTACTGACATACCAGAGCATTTCATAGAATCACAGAATATGCTGAATTTGAAGGGAACCATCAGGATCATTGGGTCCAACTCCTGGCCCTGGGGAAGACATCCCAAGAGTCCCATCACGTGTCTAATATTGTTGTCCCAAATGCTTCTTAAACTCTCTCATGCTTGGTGCTATGATCACTTCTCTAAGTTTCCTGTTCCAATGCCCAGTCACCCTCTGGGTGAAGAACCTTTTCCTGATATCCAACCTAAACCTTCTCTGACTCAGCTTCATGCTGTTTCCTTTAGTCCTGCCTTACAATGAGAGTGAAGAGATCAGTGCCTGCCCCTCCTCTTCCCCTCACAAGGAAGCTGTAACTGCAGTGAGGTCTCCCCTCAGTCTCCTCCAGGCTGAACAGGCCCAGTGCCCTCAGCTGCTCCTCACACAGCTTCCCCTCAAGGCCCTTCCCCATCTTTGTGGCCCTCCTTGGACACTCTCTGATAGTTTAATGTCTTTCTTACATTGTGGTGCCCAGAGCTGCCCCCAGCACTGGAGATGAGGCTGCCCCAGTGCAGAGCAGAGCAGAGCAGGACAATCCCCTCCCTTGCCCAGCTGGTGATGCAGTTCTTACTGTGCATCTCACTTCCTTGGAATTAAAAGTAAAGCTGTTTTCGGACCTATCATATTTTTTGTAGAATATATAATCAGTGCTCTTCTTTTTATAACAGTTGTCCTTGCCTTTGATCTGGGTTGAAGTAACCTCATTAAAGATTTATTTCCTTTTTTTGTTTGGCACCTCTGTAGCAAAGTCAGGGTATCTTATATAAGGAGAATGGTTTGGTTGTATCTGTTCCTCGAGGCAAGTTACTGGCTCATGCTAGATAGCCTCTGATTTGTTCCTTTCCAGAGGAAACCAAAGGACCAAACCTTTGGTCCTCTATAAAAAAAGGGGGACAAACTGAGGGCATTTGTTTGTTCAGAGACTTAGTTAACCCCCTGTTCCTCTGTAGGATGGTAAAGTGAGGGAGGTATGAGCTGAAAAAAATGGGTTCTGAGATTGCATTGAATTTGCGCACAGCCCAGTTTCAACACTGGAAATCCACACTGACCCTGGTCTAAAAAATTTGCCTGGATTTAGCATGTCAAGGAGCAGGTTTATTAGAGGTTGTCTGAAAAACAGTGTCAAGACACAGAAAACTCTGCTTTCTGCTTTGTCTAACAAAACACCCAGATGTTGAGGCCAATAGCACCATTTGTTTTGGTTGGTGTGACTAGATGTTAGTGTCACAGAATGAGCTGCTCAGAGTTTTTCTGTGTTTTTCTATGAGAGAACATTAATGTTCCTTGTTGTAAGGCACATTTCAGGGGAGTATTCCCTTATTTTTCTGTCTGCTATACATTGGTCTTACATACTTGACACAGCAGTTGCAACAGACCTCCATTCTGCTGTCAACTCCACAGAGTTTGCCTGTAAGGTAACTCACTTATGTTTCTAAGAAATTAAAGAATTGCTTTATATTTGCTTATTTTTGTACTCATGGTAACATTTGTTACTTGCCATTGGTACAGTGATGGATTTAAGTGTTCCAAACCATCTCATATGTTGTTCTAAGAAATGGTTATACAGTTTGTGTGGATTTGAGCACAGCCAGTCCTTCTGGATGTTAGAGGGGTTGGGCCCCTTCATGTCCTACTGTTGGAGAGGCAGGGCAGCTAGCATTTCCCTGAGGTGAAGATGGGTGTAGGGTTGGCTTTTGAGTTACAGAAATGGTCAAGCTGGTGTTGTGGTTTAACCCCAGCTGGCAACACAGCCCCACACAGCCTCTCTCATTTCCCCCCAGTGGGATAGGGGAGAGAGAACTAGAAAAGTAAAAATATCTGGGTACTGTGGTTAATAATTTCTAAAGTTAGCATTATTATCTTAATGTACATTTAGTTTTGTTCAGCCTATGTTGACAGCATCTCACACACAGGTAGTTGCTTATCTGGAGTTTGTCAGTACAGATGGATTTCCTGCGTAAAGACAGTGTTTGTTAATGTGTCCTGTGTACCTTACCAACGAGACAGGCAAGAGCAAAGTCTCTTTCAGCAGCTCCTCAGTTAATAAAATTTCTAGCTATGTTAGGTATATGAGAAATAGCTTCCAGATAGGCAGCTGTGTTCCAGATAACTCTCTGTAGTTGGAAAACAGATAAAGATAAAAAAGCAGTGAGATTAGGATGGATATACATTTCCTGGTTAAATGGAACAATGTCTGGCTGTTTGTTTGAGGAGGGAAAAAAACCTAAAAGAAGAAACAGAAGATAGCCATGAAACCAAAGAAAATAGTGACAAGATTTATAAAATCTGCTCTTGTTCACAAATATGTTGAAGGCTGACTGTAGCATCGAAATGGCAGGTATTTAAGTGCATTTCTCTTAATTTTGCAGCTTTTACTACCACATTTGCATATTTTGTTTTCTTGTCAAATTCTGAATTTTAAAGCTAGGTTTCACTTTACCTCCATAAGAGTGTGTGTGTTCATGGAGAGCCACTGTTACTGATACAAACTTAGTCTCTAAAAATGCAGCACACTGAACTTCATTGCAGAACTATTTTATGAGAAGTTTAATCTTGGTGCTTAAAGGTTAGGTGATGTTAGGGGATCTTATGAGGCTGATTTAAATTTATTTTTCCTTCCAAGCATGCAGTTGAAATTGGTTGTGCTGGGAAACAGGAAGGGACCTGGAAGGTACTTTAGTTAGTAAGTGTGTCTTCCTTGCACTCCTGGCTGTTTGGCAAGGCTTCATACAGGTTAGCTTGAGGACAGGACAACTGTACTTCCTCTCCCTGTCTGGTAAATAAGATATGAGAGATTGTGCAAGATCTTTTTAACCTGAGACTAACAACCTGTTTTTTCAATACATAAATCAAAAATGTGTCAGACAAGACTGCCTGCTTAATAAGAGCTATCTGTAACCCACTAGAATAAACAACTTCCAGAAACTTGAGTAGGACACAACATTCCTGGTTTATAACCCTTTCCTTCTGGATGACAAAAATCATACAGGTGGTCAGTGAATCATATCTTTCTTGCAAGTGAGTAGTCCACATACAAGATACCACTCTACTAGAGCTATGAGTTAGACTGTTAGTATGGCTGCTGCAAATCTGTACTTGCATTCAGACATTGCTGAGAACTCATACAAGATCAATAATGAAATTATCTTAAAAAAATCCCTGTAAACAGGAAAGGTGTTGCCTATAGTTTCTTTACCAGACCCCTCTTCTCTGTAATAGTAGAATGAGAGTACATCTAGTAGAAAAAATACAAAACATTTAATACTTAACATTCTAGAGTAGGAGGGAAGGTAGTTCATCATAAATTTCTTTGAGTAAATGGCAATAATTAGTGGTGTGCTGACTCTAGGTATCATTTGCAGCATTTCTAATTTCTGTGGGTCTACCCTGGCAGACATGAAATAGTATTTAATACAAAATCAGTAAGTAATTGATAGTAATTTGTTTTAGTTCATACACCTTGAAGTTAGGACATTGTGAATTAAGGAACTAAGATTACCCTGGAGTGTGCTGTCTGTTTAATGTGCAGATATTAGTTTCAGTCTTCAGATTTATAATTTATTTTGTCATCTTTTTCTGCAGAGAGGAGAAGAACAACAGGGAAATACAGAAGCTGCCTTCAAAACTCTTGACATTTTAATCAGATCTTTTGGGTTTGGAATTTACATAGCAGACTTTTCTTTTAACTCAGCTATCCTGAATGTTCATCTTGGCTATTCTTCAGCAAGTTCAAATTTTCCTTAATTATGAAATCAGTGATGGGCAGGTGATTGTTACAGTAAGTACTTTCAGATGTATTCAAAGATATTCCAGATGTTGAATGAAAATTGCACATTGCCGTGCTTCACTAGGTTACATCTAGACTTCACTGTGTAAATATTAGAAGCAGAATTTTATTCAATAAAACATGTTACGCTCATGTAGTCTCTTCGTTTTGCTATTGTTTTGGAAGAACCCAAAGAAGTTATTTGAATGTGACTGTTTTCAACACAATAAACCTTACACAGCCGGACCAACTTGTGTGATAGAGACCTGCTTTAGCTGGTGGCATCAGTGTTTTACTTGAGTGGCTTCATGCAAAATAGTCCCTAATACTGATTTCCCTTTCTGCATTTTTCTTGAGAGGGGAGGAGTGCTTTTTTTGCCTTGTTGCTGTGAGGGAGAGGCTTAATTGGTACATCTTTGCTGCAATATCCTTCCTTCTAGAATTGGAATGTGTTTGCTACTAAGCAGCTAGGCAAAAAGCAATTCCTCTTCTTTTTGCCTGCTTTGCTCTCTGTACAAATCAATCTCATGCTGCATTGTTTCTTACTGAATAGGGGAAGAACTGGGGGGGGTTGAGGAGATGGAGGACTGTAGCCAGATAATCACATTTCTGTGATTGTTCAGGAGGATCTTTCTCAGAGAAAGAAGAATACCTTTGTACACAAACCTGCTCAGGACAATCCTCAAGGAGAGAGGTGAAACACACCAGGGAGGAACTTGAGGAGGATAATTTCACATTCACTATCAGTGGATCTATGGAAAGTGCTAAACTGTCATCTTTTCAGGTCTTACCATTTTGTGTAAGATTCTGTCTTCACAGTTTGTGCATTCCCTAAAGAACTTCACACTTGATAATGAAGCTAGTTCTTAATGTATCCAATCAAAATGAGATTGTTGTCAAATTGTGTAAGTCTCCTGCAAATGCCATGTATAGAACTTGTTTATTGTCTGAAATAAGATAGGTGCATTACACACTTTATATTTTTTTGTGCTGGATGGAAGCTATTTTGGTCATATGAAGAAAAATTGTTTTAAAAATTATTTCTGTCTTTGTAAAACATTAATAGATATTTTAGTAACTGTCTCCTAAAAATATACTGTTACTGTATTTCAAAGAATACAAAATAGATGCAATTATAGTACTGCCTTAGTAAAATGTACTTTGGTAATTAATAGCCTTAACAAAATATACTTTGTATTTACAGTTTTCACAGAAAAAAGTGATTTCTAATGTAGTGCAAAGCTTAAATTCAAGTTTCCTGTATTGATATTTGAAATAATATATTTCTTAATAAACATGTAGAAAATATTTGCTCTTAATGTGGACTGCTACAATCTGGTTGAGGGGCAGGTTTTGTGTTTTCGGTGACTGGTGTTGTGTTGGTTTTAATAGTATAAAAATTGTTCCTTTCTCCTCTGTTTGGAGTAATAGAATATTTTTCCCTGACAAACATGGATTAGTGTTCTTTTGGAGGTGCTGCCTCCAAAAGCCTGCCTAGATGGCAGTATTCACTCACATAACCTGTGCTCAAGGATGGAGGCTGTTTTAGTGCGTGCTACGGAAAAATGACTTACAGTGCTAAACAGGATGGGAAGGTGTATGCTGGTACATACAAATAACTGTTTCTTATTAAGTTTCCTAATAATAAAATCCAAAGAAAAGTCATATTTTCTGGGTTTTAACCAGTTAGGTCTCCTAATTTTTTTCTCAGATTTAACCTGGGCAATGATTGTTTCACACTAAGTAACTCCTAAAGGAAAAATCATGTCACTACTCCTTGCTGATAGTCCAGAAAATTAGTAATCTACCTAGTCGTGCTCATTTAACACCAATTGCTGGAAATACTTATGGTACAAAATTTATTGCTGGGTCCTGAGGTCTTCACTGAAAGGGTTTTCAAATATTGGAAGAGCTCCAGGGAAATAGGAGAGTCACCATGCCTGGAGGTCTTTAAAAGGTATGTAGCTTTGATATTAGGAGTATGGTTTAGTGGTGGACTTGATTGTGCCAGGTTAATGGTTGAACTGGGATGATCTTAGAGGTCTTTTCCAGCCTAAGTTATTTCTATTATTCTGTGAAAGACCTACACAGCCCTCCTGGGACCCCAGATTTATTAACTGCAGATGAAAGACTTGTATCCTCTTCTGTCATCTAGCTCAGTTAAGACTGTAGTGCCATAACAACCTCACAGTAATAAACAGTGTGCTGATTATATAAAAATTGGACTTAAATCATTAGAGGTATTCTTCCTTGTGGAAGTGCATGTGTTTGTAAGAGGATTAGCCAGTAGTACATTCTCAGTGCAGTAGCCAGGAGCCTTGACACAATGACCTTCTGCTCCTACGGTCTGATATTCAATTCTGAGCCCATTAATCTTTCCAGACAGATTTCTTGCTCCCTTAGCTAAAACCCGGTGTTGCTGGTGCACTGGTATACTGCAGAAGCTCTGTTCTAGCCACATAACTTCAGAGGCAGCAACTGAAAGGAATCCATTCAGCAAGCTGGCAGAGATTGTTATCACAGCAGCTCATGGGGTTCAGTGAGCATTATATGTTCATAACAAAATAAGCTGACACAGTCTGTAAGCTCTGCCAGATTTCAGCAGACCTGAAATAAGGATGCAATTCTTTTGTAGCTCTTTTTCAGCTTAGCTACTCTGCAAGATACACATTGATTAGATATGGGAGGACTACAGCTGACTTCAGTATGAAACATGATTTTAGAACTTGGTTCAGTTGCTTGTGCTTTGGCATCAACTACCATTTGAGGCACCCTGGGGTATCCTGCATGGTCTCCATGTCTCCAGCTGCTGCTTCCATAGGTCCTATGTGGTATCTGCCAACCCCCTGTGTATCTTGGGTGCCTCAGGGCATCTCAAATAGCATAGATGCTGGCATTCAGGCATCTAAATGGAGCCTTTTGTTTTCTAGAACTTTGGATAGCTGATGTCTGACTATTTTTCTGCGAGCTTGCATAAAATGCCAGCAATGAGATTGGTCTATTCCTTGATTTTCCAGGTAAATTGCACAAATCCTCAGTATGTACATAGGGTGGGATACATGATGTTGTGTGTGAAAGTAAGTGTCATCTCCCAGGTGATGGGCTGATGCTGCACTGGCCTGTTAGTTCCCCAAGGAGAATAATTTAGAACAAAACCCCAGCCTTGGAACTGTTACCTGGCTGGAGTTGGTTGCCAAATGTCACAAGGTTTCTGATGATTATCTGAAGGTAACGGGGGAAGGACCTAGTTCTATTTCAGCAAAACCATGAGCAACAGGAGTGAGTTAATGGGAGATGAGTCCCCTTGCTTTCTGTAGGCTCTGTGTGGGATTCAACTCAGGATTAAGCCACCTAAATGTGTCTGGATTTAGGTGTGTATGACTGAGCAGAGCAGTTGAGCTGGTACTAAGTTCCTTTAAGGTAATTTTGACTCATTCTGCAGGCTGAACTGACTCCATTGACTGGTCTCTGCATGGTGCCACATTAGGTGCTGTAAGGTGTCCTGCCTGGCCCTCAGCTGCTTGTCTGGAAAGGTTCAAGTCTCCCATCAGTGCTTGGTGACACCTGCTGTACTCAAGGTACATCTTTCACCATGCTCAAAGTCGTCTGGGGCATCATTGCTAAATGTGTGAGCAGCGATTCCCCAGTGGCTGTGGCTGCCATGGGATCACAGCCCAAAGGTAGGCATTAGATTCTTAACTTCAGATAAAATTTCTCATTCTATGCTTTTGGCAGAAGGGATAGAATGGAGAGGAGGCACATGAAGTGTTTTGAGGATGCTGGGGCCATGCACTAAGTGGTGGAAGAAGCTGGGGGAGGATGGTCTGTCCTTCAGTCCAGCTGCTACAAGCAGCATTGGCCTAATCCATACTTCAGGTCATGTAAGTCATCCCCAGCCCTCTAACAGAAAGAACTAAACCTCCTGATGAGCAATACCAATTAATTTGATCAGCTGCCTATTTTCATATTTCAAGGGCAGCACTGAAGCAACCCCAGCCTTGGTTTCATATTACTTGCTTTGAAATTGCTTTATGGTCTTTGGTGATGTTTTTAAACCCTATTTTTGTCTGCCAAAATAATTCTGCTACTCTAAGAGCAGAAACTAGTGTCTGGTCTTGCTCATGTAGGTCTGTGGCTAACTGTTCTACAGCTGACAGTAATGTGCCACCAGTGTCTCATAAGGCATCCCTGTTGATTCCTGTGTGTAATTAATTACTTTTATATGGTAATTAAATCATTCCTGTTTACTTGCACTCTGCTTGCAGCTGAGTACTTGCTGAAAAGAGAAATTGTTTGACTTGCCTGTGGTTGCTCTCTTGCAGCATTGGTGAGCTCTGCCCTGCCTGAGCTGCTGTTGGTTCCAGGTTTGAGTAGTCTCTGGCAGTTCTGAGACTGACCCGGGCTGCAGACGGGACTTTGTGGATGTTAAAGCTGATGCAGCCCCTTCCCCCCTGCTGCCCTGCAGTCCCAGCTGATGCAGCCCCTTCCCCTCTGCTGCTCTGCAGTCCCAACTGATGCAGCCCCTTCCCCTCTGCTGCCCTGCAGTCCCAGCTGATGCAGCCCCTTCCCCCCTGCTGCCCTGCCAGTCCCAGCTGATGCAGCCCCTTCCCCTCTGCTGCCCTGCCGGTCTCAGCTGATGCAGCCCCTTCCCCCCTGCTGCCCTGCAGTCCCAGCTGATGCAGCCCCTTCCCCTCTGCTGCCCTGCAGTCCCAGCTGATGCAGCCCCTTCCCCTCTGCTGCCCTGCAGTCTCAGCCGTGCTGGGGGCTCCAGGCAGCCCCTGCCGAGGCTGCGGCCGGCGAAGGGCGCTGTGGCTGTGCGGAGCTGTGCCTGTGGGATCCCGGGTACCTCTGGTTTGGCGGGGGCAGCAGGGGGTGCAGAGCCCTGCCCTGTGAGAGCTGCGACAGCGGCCCCGCTCAGGTCAGTGAGCCAGGAACGGGCTCTGGCACGGCTGGAGCAGCACATCCAGGCAGGTCTCAGTGGCAGCTGCACAGGGGAGATATTAGAGATTGTGTTTCAGTGATGAACTGGGACCTGACAAGCACTGTGTGAATCCAAGCCTGCCTGCATTTGCAGTGCACAGTGTTCCACATGCAGCTCGGCTGTCTCACACTTGTTGTTTGCTAGTCTAGGGGTTTGCAAGAAAGGGCAAACACAGATATGTTTAAAATATTTGGATGGTTTGTGCAGGAGGTGCAGAGAAGGTGCCCCCAGCAGGGCCTGTGGCAGTAACATGGTGCTGTATGCTTTTCTCTACTATCCAGCCTGCTGCAGGGTAGTGCCTCAAGTCTAAGCATAAGATGATTGAGATGTGTGTGTCACATAATAAATTGTTTTGGCCTCAGGAATTTTCAAAGATGACTCTCAAGAGAGTGGTGAGGCAGTGGAGGAACAAAGTGCAGCCTTGTTCAAGTGCTGCTCTGACGGTTTCATGGCATCTCTTGTTCTAACCTACTGATCCTGTGGTTTGTTCATAAAACAGAATTTAGCTTGGGAAGGAAAGTGTGAGGAGGTTGGCATTCAAATGTTAATACATGGAGAACAAAAAGGACTAAGGACAAGCTTAGTGTAAATGTAACTTAGTCCTCTCAAATGTTTTTTTATCAGTTCCCCCACCCATCTCTTGAGTAAAGTTTCCCCCCTCCCATTTTGCCAACAACCTTGTTATGCCATCAGCTACAACACTTTTAAATGTTTGAAGTCATTTTTGTCAGACTTTTTTTTTTAATAAAACCAAACTGTTGTTCCTCATTTGCTGTGTTACAGTTGACTTAGAGGCCACTGAAGCAAGTGGATGTTGAACAGCCTTACAAACCAGAGCTGAAGCCCTGGCCTCCTCCTTGGTCCTTCCCTTCCTGGCTTGGCACCATGCCACAGCCAAGCCACAACTTTGCTGGGTGTTTTGCTGTCCCAGGCAGGGGGCTGGGCAGGGAGGTCGTGGAGTGAGTACCAGAGCAGTGGCAGCTACTGCTGCTGCTGCTGGGTGATGAAGAGTGAGAGGGTGATGAAGGTGTGAGGAAGGCATTAGCATCTTGTTGCAGGGGCATAGCCATGCCTGTCCTCAACCAGTGACTCCAGCCTTCCCAGGCTTCCCACTCCACTGCCAGTCCCAGCCCCAGTCCCTTGGGAGAGGGAGCCAGCCTGGATGTCACAGACTGTGCATCTCTCCCTACCGTGGTGCGTGCAGCCACCGTGTCCCATCCCCATCCCTTCTTGCTCCTTCTCACCCAGGTGGAGGCAGCTTTGGTGACTTACAGCAATTCACTGCTCAGGCTGTGAAACACCCACTCAGGCAGTGATCTGGCTGTTGTCATCTGCACAGCTTGAGCCTTTGGGAGATGACACTTTATCTAATTAGCTTTCAACGAAGAACATGTGATTCATCTTGTGTTACGAGCAGTGAAATCACGGAGCATTTTGCTGTCAGCATCGCTAACCGAGCCTCGGCT